GTCGATGGACGTGTAAAAAAGGCAAAAGATTGACGATTACCGCTAACTTTTAGAAGCGAAATTTAGGCAGCGAAGAAAAAATCCGGCCCGTGGGCCTTATCGTAAAAAGTTGGACCGGTCACGTGCGCATGATTAGCGAATCAAGTTCGAGGATTTAGGAATCTGGCCCGCTCAGATGCTTGATAAAAAAATAAGATCGAATATTTGTCCGCGGACATCATCTGACACGTGAAGCGAACAATTTTCCGAGAGCGAAGCTCAAGGAAAACTGTGAGTTTTGAGAAACAGATAATGTCCAAGGACAAATATCTCAGCATATTCTCGCGCCAAATGGCGGCTATTGTGTTTAGTATCCTTGAAATATTTTTTGAAACACGCGCAGTTTTGAAAATATGCTGGGGCATATTCAGTCATGTGACGCGTTTGGTCAAATAGCGCGCGAGCGAAAATATTTGATGGATTAGAAAAGAAAATATTCCCATTATATTGGAAAGTAAGTTGCTAATATAATTAACATATTCAAAACCAAGTTAAGGTTTAATTACTCTTGAATCACATGATTGATTTCAAACAATTTCAGACTCTAAAGGATCTCTTGACGAAGTGTCTAAAAGAAGGAGAGAAACGGAACATGACTTCCATTGCTTTTGCCGCCATTGGTACGGGTACACTTCGCTTTCCTCGAGATCAAGTTGCCGAGATCTACTTTGATGAAGTAATAGCTTACAGCCAAAGGAACCCCTCAACGAAAATGAAAGATGTAAGGTTTGTGTTGCACGACAAGGACAGTTTAACTGTCCAAGCCTTCAATGTGGAGTTACAGAAGAGATTAAAAGGTACTGTCCGCATATCATCACCTGGTACTACAACATTCTCTCCGGTAATTGAGCGAAAGCCAGATCACTTGGAAACAAATGTAGGACCCCTGTGCTTTCAAGTTCAACCTGGTGATATCACCGAAGAGTCCACAGAGGCCATAGCAATTATCTCCAATAATTCTTTAGATCTCTCAGTAGGTCAGGGAGCCGGAGCTGCAATCCTTCGAAGAGGAGGTGATTCAATAAGGGACGAGTGCATCATGTACGGTCCTCAAGCTCCAGGATCCATTGTTGTCACAAAGGCTGGAAGATTAAACGCAAACTATCTCTTCCATATCGTCCCGGTGGAACCCCTCACCGCTAAAAGCATGAAAGCCTGCCTGTTGACATGTCTCCAAGAGGCTGAAAAAAAAAGAGTAACATCCATTTCATTTCCTGCTATTGGGACAGGGATCCTTGGTATGTCGGCAAAATCAGCTGCAAACACAATGTTGTCCGCGGTTCGCACTTTCTCTGACCAGCAACCTGCCAACATACAGCTTATTAAGATGACGATTTTCCAAGTAGACATGATCAAAGATGTCCGCTCAGCGATGTATGAAGTATCAGGCCAAAAAACTCCTACAGAACCGGGAATGTTGCAAAAATTTGCCAAAAGTGTGGCACGTCGCATTGGTCTCGGAGGAACGGGAGAAAGCAGCACTACCCCAGAAACTCCAGAAGCTGACAGCAGAAAGTTAGACCTCGTTATATTTGCTGGTTGTGAAAGAGATCTTCATCACGCTACAGAGGCAGTCAAGGAGGTGATGGCAGATAATTTCAGTCAGCGGATTATAAAAAATGAGGTAATCAGAAATTTGAGCAAAGAAGACATGAGAAAAATTCACACTCTTGAGCTACGCTACGCTGTGGAGGCAACTGTGGAGAAAGAGGTGGACCGAATCGAGTTACGTGGCCAACCAGAGGATATTCTCAGCGTCATGGGAGACATTCACGAACTTCTGGATAAAATAAAGACAGATGAACACGAACGCATCCGAGCTCAAGTGGTGTCGAAAGATATCCAGTGGAAGTATAAAATCGGAGATACGTTCGTAGAATACGAAAGTCACCTAAATGCACAAATTGAACTTGCCTATCACCAAAGGAGAAAGACGATGACGATCCATCAGGATGGAGAGCAGTACAAAATATCTTTCGTTGACATGACTGAGGAGGACGAAAATGGTCAAAGAACAGACATCAAAAGAATTGATTCTCGCAAAGGTAGGTAGTTAACTTGTTGGAACTAGTGAAAAAGACTTCAAATTATGAGGGCGGAAAAGCAGACTTTTGGATCGTTGTGACACAATTACTTACTTCATATAAGAAAGGAAACCGATCCAACTCGAATCACCGGTGACTTGCAATAACCGACTGTGGTAGCTTTCCATCTTAAAAGGTACAAAAACACGAATAACAGAAATTTTTTGTGGCAGCGAAAAGGCGGTTTTTTTGTTTTCTTAAAAGAAGGAGGGCTAATATTGATCGCGCCCGAGCAGAACTACGAGTAGAATTTCAATGATAATAAAATCATTGCATCTATGTTTTTGTCCGGTCAACGTCTGATCGTAAAAGTCTGACAGTAATTACAGCATTTTATAGTGGTATAATATGGTATTTTTTACGCTCAAAGTCCCAGTCCATGAGTGATTTCTGTTGGGAAACCGTTAAAATTTGTTTCATTACAGGGCGCGCCAGTGACCTGGACAGTCCAGTCCAGGTTCCATGGAACTTTGGTAGAGTTTCGTCCGCGAACACTGACCAGGAACCGAATCGTTTTGTGTTCGCCCGCGAGACACTTAGCTTTCGCAGTGCTTTTCTCCACCAAGGTGTATAGGTGCAATTCTAGTGAATCGTATATACTGAGAGGAGCCCCTACGCTAGACAGGAATCCCATCTGGGGGATGGAGAAGAAATATAATGCTACCGAAGCTGGGGTTAACTCCAGCGGTTGGGACAGTCTGGTTTAATGCTCTTTTACTCTGTTTTACGTCTCAATAGGCCTTCAGCCCCCTGACTACTGGGATCCTCAGCCACAAGACAAGAAGATGCATATTGTGGAACTTAAACCTTCCACACATGCGCAGGAGTACAAGAAGGTCAGCGATCTGTTCAGTGGAACCTGTTCCAACCGCATTCTAAAGCTAGAGCGAATTCAAAACCCTGCTCTATATGGTCTGTACGCAATTCAGCGGCAAAAGATGGACGAAGTTAACGGTTTAGGAAGCAACGAAAAGTTGCTGTTTCATGGAACAGCAGAGGATAACTGTAACGCAATCAACCACAAGGGCTTCAACAGAAGTTATGGCTGGCAGAAGAGTAAGTTAACAACTTAACGTAATATGCGAGCTCTTGATGCGGGCTCAAATCACGGTCTACTTATTGGTTGTAATGAGGAGCTCATACATATCGACTCCTGCAGTCAGACATTGAAGCTTTCTGAGATGTGTTTATGAACGAATTTTTTCTTGACCCTAGATAACCTTTATGGAAAAGGCGTGTATTTTGCGGCACAAGCTGACTACTCTGCAAGATCTCAATTTTCGCCACCAGGTCCAACTGGACACCGACACATGTACCTCGCCAGGGTCCTGGTCGGTGAGTATACAGTGGGGAGGCCGGACATCCTTGAACCGCCAGCCAAACACCGAACGGATCTAACAGATACCTATGATAGCGTGGTTGACCAGATTCCTAATCCTGAGATCTTCGTCGTATTTCAAGACCCACAGTGTTATCCCGAATACCTAATCACCTTCCAGTGACAGCCAAGCGTTATCTAGAGTTTGTCAAGGTTGCTCCCTGAACAGTTTAAAAGGAAACCATTTTCTTCTTTTGAGCTCGTTGTTTGGGGAGATTAATTCAGTTTAGGTTCTCCCTTAAAAGTACCAGAAAGAGGTCGTGTCCTTTCAAAGTAGTTGCCCAATGCAGTAGGCTATATTAGTTTTCCGGGTATTGGACTTGGAAGTACTGCACGTATATAGCTTGCAATAGAAATATATGTAGAACTCGTGCTAATATTATAAAAATAGCTTTGTTTGCATTTAAAAAGTTTTCCCCATATAACAAGCTCCAGTACATATAATTTCAGTCTTGTAGATTTGTTTTTTTTTTTTTTTTGCATGGCATTGCTTTTGGACGAAATGAGATTGTCGCTTATCGTGGAAATATCGCCAAGGTTCGGAGAAGAGTACTATACTACGTACAGTCCTATACTTAATGAGTAGCCTAGTCAGGTCTGTGATGTCTGGGGCGCCGCAGTAAGTAGTTAAGCAGTAGTCAAGTTTCTTTTGTTTTATCAAATTTTATAGTGGTCGTCAAATGCAGTCCGGCTTAAGTGCGCAAGTCATAATATGAGCCGCGTTGCGACATTCCTTCCCATAAGTTCCTCTCCTGAGCTCTAGTTCAAAATAGCTATGCACATGGAAACATGAAAAATGCTGCTGTTTTAATATTTTACAGTAATACCTATAACAAAATATAACTCATTTTACCGCGTATACAGGCCATTAAATAACAGTCGTAAAAACAACGGTGATGAAATAATCCTCTTCTAGACGCAAAGTATTTTCAATAACGTGGTGGTTACCCTCTTAGTGAACCAATAGGCCTAAAAAACTATATCTGCGACGAAACGTTTTTCGTCTCCTTGTCTGTGGCCCGTAGGAACCAGAATCAACGGATTCCCTTTGCAGCGAGATCTTCTTTGACTCGTCGAAGATAATGCGGGTCGGGGTAACCAAAGCTGTAGGAGGTAAACGAAGATTGTTACATTAATCAACACAATAATAAATGTAGGGAAACTAGTAAGTGCTCTCCTTTATTTATCATTTTATTGTCGTTGACTTGGGGTTAGAAGAGTGCATGTGTAATCCCCAATAGCAATTTAGTATTTCAATTTAAAGCAACAACAAACGAAAATAGCATGAACAAAGGAATTAAAAGACAAAGAAATCAAGGACCACATCATTCAAATCACAGTTGGAAATAGAATTAAACACCAAAATGAATGGGCAATAAAGTAGTAAGACTTCATACCCATGGGCTCCTCCGTGCATGTTGGTCTTATGATGTATATCATTCCACGTTATTTGATTCGAAAGTCCTGTTGTTATCGAGGTCCCAACAGTAAACACCAGGCGTGCATTAAAAGCTCTGTGTAATAGCTGCAGGACTTCTCTGCCCTCGTTGTTATCAGGAAGATAAGCAGTACGGTGTGTGCCACTGTAATGCTGACCGGGATTCGGATGTTCTGGACCTTGAATTCCAGATGGAAAGGAATACTGAATGCAGATGGTACCACACCCTGGCGATGAACGACATGAAAAATTGTATTACTTGGTCATTATCAATGAATTACCACATTTAACCTGGTCAGATATTCCTGCCAACAGTTTTTTTTTTTCCTGCCAACAATCTTAGTTATTAGTTCAATTCCCGGAGATTTCAGCCCATTTCTAACGGCTATCGGTACATTTTGTAGATTGAGATCTCACTTACCAGTTAAAAAGCATTATTTCTCAGCAAACAATTAAATTTTTGACCAGTTGTCAGATATCAGTTAAACTCCGACATTCTGTTCCAAGAGATTTCACGGCTTAATTCCCAGAACCTTCCAACAGTAACTCTGGAAGGGGATGGGCGCGAACTTGTGAAGCCCAAGATTTAATCATATGAGCAAAACTAAAGTCAAAACGGAGAGATAATGACTTACCATAGTGACCTGGTAGACTAGATGGCATGGAGGACCAAGTCATCTGTCCAGGAGGTTGATTTCCCGTAACAATGCCCTGTGGCTCTTTACAAATGGGGCAGATGTTGAGTATACCCAGCGCTCTCTTCAAGCAATCTTCGCAGAAAACATGTCCACACTTTATAGTTCGAGGGTTTACCATGGTATCAAGACATATCGGACATCTATGATGCAAAGTCGCCTCTGCTGAAGAAAATTGCAACAACACCTACTTACAGTCTTAATCGTAATCTGCAAACAGAGGGAGGTGAATCTCAATATGACATGAGAGAGCCCGACTGTTTGCCGAATGCTGTTGTACTTTTTCCTCGAATGAAATGAAAACTGCTCTTAAAGAATGAGGGTGGTAAAGGGGCGGTATAGATCACGTTTCATGGAAAATAAAGCAGCCCTTTCACAATTCACGAAAAATACAACATTGGCATTTCACGCTTCACGGAAAATAAAAGAGAA